AGAGAGAGAGAGAGAGAGAGAGAGAGAGAGAGAGAGAGAGAGAGAGAGAAATCAGTATCCTAGGCACTGTTTCCAACGTGTGGCTTTGGTGATGCTCAGTTTTAAATTCCAAGCACAAGAGCTTATGAAAACAATTTACACGGAGTGATCTGAGTAAAGGCATGTTCCATGTTCTCTCAGTTCAAGATTATCTTTAGGAAAGTGGTTACCTGTGCACCACTCTCAGCACAGGAAGTAAGCTTTCCCACATCCCACTGAGCATCTGGTGTGACAGGGTAGGAGCATACCATGAGGCACCAGTGTGGAGTGACCTGTCTGGGGAACACTCCAAGGACTCCACTCCTGCCGGCCGTCTCCACGGGCGCAGACTCTGAACTGATAATCAACATTGGGGTCTATGTGCAACACTATGAATTCAGTTTCAGAACCTACATACACGTCTTCAAAATGATTTGCAGTACATTTACGGAACTGGAGCCTGTAATCTTGAGCTGTAAAGTCATCGTCCACCTATGGAGAAAGATTTTTTTTAAGTTAGGTAAGAACCATGAAAAAAAAATGGGGACATCCAGACAAAATCCTGAGTTTTTGCTGAATAGGGGCAATATGGAATACTAAGGGAAAGACACAGGCATTATGTTTATCACTATTTCCTTTTTGTTTTTCCTGAGATAGGTAGGGTATCACTAAATGTAGACCAGGCTGGCCTTGAATTCATGGTAATCTTGCTTCAACTTCCTGAGAGCTAGGATTATAAATTTGCATTACCATATCCGTTGCTTTTCCTTTTTTCTTCTGTTTCTTTTCGCTTGCTTCTTTGTTTTTGAGAGCAGGTTCTTGCAATACTGCCCAGACTGGCCTTGAGCTCACCATTCTCCTGCCTTGCCACCCCAAATGCTATGATGTTACTATACCTGGCTCCTTCCTTCCACTTGTGTGTATTAAAGGCATGTACCACACTGCCCAATTAAATCTTTTTTAATTTTATTTTATGTTATTTGGGTATTTTGCCTTCATTTATATCTACTCGCGTGTGCCTGGTGCCCAGGGTCCTCAAACTCACAGAGATCAGCCTGCCTCTGCCTCCCAAGTACTGGGATTAAATGAGTGCGCCACCACTGCCTGGAGACACTGATGTTTTAAGAAGTCCTTTCAAGGGGCTAGGAGTAGCTTGATGGTATGGTGGGTTTGATTGCCAGCTCCACAAAAGAAAGTAAAACTTGAGCTCGTTATTTGACACTGGAAGAACTACCTCAGTTCACATTCCCTGTGATTTTAATTATAAAAAGTCCCTCCACCCCACTCCAACTAGCAGGGTGGCGCACGCCATTAATCCCAGCACTCAGGAGGCAGAGGCAGGCGGATCTTAGTTCAAAGCCAGCCTGGTCTACAGAATGAGTTCCAGGACAACCAGGGCTACACAGAGAGACCTATCTTGAAAAATAAAACAAAGCCTGGTAGTGGAGGTACATGCCTTTAATCCCAGCACTTGGGAGGCAGCGGCAGGTGTATCTCTGAGTTCGATGCCAGCCTGGTATACACAGCAAGTTCTAAAACAGCCAAGGTTGTTACGGAGAAATCTTAAAAGCCCAAATCACAAACACATAATGTATGAGTCCATTTCTGTAACTTTATACATACCTTACACCATCGCACTATGATGCCTCCAGGTTTCTCTATTAATTCTTCAATCTGTACTGGTGGGCGGGAAGCTACTGTTCCATGCTTAAAAATGTGGTCTTTCACTATGTTAAGAATGGAATCATCCAACTGAGCAGATAAACAGGGTACATCAACTAGCAAAGGCACTTCTGGTAAGCTAAGGAAACAAAGTTCATATGTTTTAAGACATGCTTAATATGGAGGTAAAAATGCAAGGACTATTTAAGTCATATGCTACAAGAGTCCTCAAGGCCTCAGCAAATAATTCTCAAGAAGCTGGAGGCTTTGTGAGGGCTTTCATCTTTATATTATATGAAGATTCTCTTCCCCAATTGTTATAAGAATGATAAAAAACCGTAAACTGTAGTGTAGTAGCATATGCCTATAATCCCATCATTCAGGAGACTGAGACAGGGGAATCACAAATCAGAGGTCAGTCGGACCTACATACACAGAGATACCACACCTTAAACAAACCAAAAACCAAACAATAACAACGAAAAAGACAAAATTGATAAAATCACAACTGTTGAGTTTATATCAAAATATCTCATTTACTGAAGTAAGACAACAAACCCTCTCCATATTGCTCCAATTTCACTATGAGTGCTGCGTTGAAAGCAGGCACCAGAATTTTTAGAATTTAATAATTCTATTAACTACTGGAATTGAAAAAGATCTACAATAATTCTATGTCAAAGATTTCAACCACAGTCATTTGACACTAGCAGTAATGTCAATGAGTAGTAAAACCTTGAAAAACAGATTCTCTTACAGTTTTGGTTGTGAGCCTGGCCTTTAACGGCTGAACCATCTCTCCTGCCCAAAAACCAGATTCTCTATTTCCTATGATCAGAATTTTTAATGGGGACCAAGCGGGTGGGAGGGTCAAGATTGGGAGGAAGGCAAATACTTAAATGCTTAACAGTAAATCCAAAAGTGACTATCTCTTTTACCTGTCCAACTGAATGTGTGAGGCCTTTTTGGTAAAATTCCACAATTTATCATTATGTTCTTCTATACCTCCTTGAATGGCGATCTCACCTAGAATAGAGGGTAAGAAAATTATGTAAGTAAAAAAACAGCCACATTTTAACCAATACAACTCATGTCACCTGTGGATTTCTCGCTTTGCTACAATTTATTCCCAAGTGACACACAATCAAATTCTCAAAACGACTTGGCAGGTGAGAGAGAACAAAGACACACGACTGCTCTCTAACTGCAGATGTAGCTCAACAACCATTTACACAGACCTAAGGCCAGCGGCATCTCCTCATTCCTCCTTATCAATTCGTGAGGTTCCCCATCCTGTTTTGTTATTTACAGTAATTTACTGGGGAGATATGCACACATGTAGACGTAGTTATTTTTTCCCATCACACGAGTTTCGGGGACTTACTTCAGTCTGTCAGATTTGGTACCAAGCTCCTTTGTCCACTGAGCCACCTAGCCAGCCCTTTTTTTCTGACTTTTTTAAGGTAAGATCTTGGCTGACTTGAAACTTGCTATGTAGACCAGGCTGAACAACCTATTTCTGCCTCTAACTCTCGAGTGCTGGGATTCCAGGGGTGAGCCTTCACACTCCTGACTCCTCTTGATCAGTTCTAACAGGAACAAAATATTAGCCTAAGAGCAGCAAAAGGACATAGGATCTTAAACAGCCAAATGATGCCAGCTGAGGTGGTACATGACTACTATCTTAGCACGTGTGAGGCTGAGGTTTGAGACAAGCCTGTGCTATATAATTAGACCCTGTCTCAAAATGAAAGTAGAATGATGCAGTCAGATCTCCCTGAAAGCACTCTATACCTCAGAGCAGAAACCAGGCCGGGCAGAGGCAGCCTGGTCTCCAGAGTGAGTTCCAGGACAGTCAGGACTACACAGGGAAACCCTGTCTTGAAAAAAAATAAAATAAATAAATAAAAAAAAAACCAAACAAAAACAACAACAACAGAATAAGGAAATGCTTTATACAGGGCAGGAAAGTGACCAACCTCTACACCCTCTGAAATGATGAAG